GTTCGCCCTGGTGCGTGTCTTCACGCACCAGCAACGTTAGTACGGTCTCCACCTAACACCATCCCTGGTGCGTGAAGACACGCGCCAATATCACACTACCCGATTTCAGAAAAAATACAGCGTATTCCGAGGTAAATCTCTGTTTCGGCGAACTGCCAAAATATAAATTTGTGAGTGCAAATCCACGGAAGAAAAATGGATAAAGCAATGGTGTGAGAAAATATAGAAAATTAATCCGTAAATGAAAAAGTGTAAGCCAGGCAATGTGCGTCAATCTCATATGGACCTGAATGAAATCTATTTCTGGACAGCGACCATTAACAAGTGGCAACGATTACTATGGCAAGATAGCTTCAAAGACATTGCCATTAATTCGCTGGATTACCTGAGCCAGGCGGGAAAAATCGATGTGTTTGGTTTTGTTATAATGCCCAACCACCTTCACCTGATATGGAGAATTAATGAGTTAAATGGAAGGGAAACAGCGCAGGGCTCCTTTTTAAAATATACGGCTCATGAGTTTCAAAAAAAATTGCGAGAAGAAGACAGGAGCAGGTTAGTGCTATTTGAAGTTGAAGCGTGTAATAAGCGGTATGAGTTTTGGCAAAGGGATCCGATGGCGATTCATCTTTATAGCAAGAAAGTGGCATTTCAGAAACTAAATTATATTCATTCAAACCCCTTGGCTGAAAGGTGGAGACTGGTTAAAGATCCTTGTGACTATAAGTACTCGTCGGCCCGATATTATGAGTTGAATGAAAAGAATTTTTCGTTTTTGAAGGATATGTGTGCAGTTTTTAGATGATGAACAGTCAGCAATAAACAACTGATTGCCTCGTGTGTGAAGAAACGCACCAGGGGGTGGAGTGTCCATGTAAAATCTGTTGCGTGAAGACACGCACCAGGGCAAGGGATGTCCTTGTGACAGTTGGTGCCTGAAGACACGCATCCGGGCATAACTATTGACAGTAATGTTTTGCAATCACAAGCAATTGCGGCTGGGAT